GAAGTCACAGCAGGAAGAGGGGGGTCATCATTTCAGAGTTAAAGTGATTTAGAAAAGATCCAACTCAATCCATAAGACGTTTGACACGTGAGAGAGGAGTTTCAGCTATGACAGTCCATAGTGTAGTGAAAAAAAGGATTGAAAATGAAGTCGTACGTGAAACCTGTGAGGCACCTTGTTACTCCAGGACAGAAGGTTAGAGAGGACGAAGATCATCTTGGAAGTTGGAAAATTATCCTTCATTTCAATCCTTCATGATCTTCCGATCCTTAGCTATGATTGATTAATGATGAACATGTCATTTTCGTTTATGATCGATTTCATCACGATTCTTCTGTTAAGCTTGGAGAGTAATTATACATTTTTATTGCACAAAGTAGAGTAGCTTAATCTAACAACTAAAAAAGAAGAAGAAGAAAGAGAAGAAAAAGAAGAATTGCTTTTTTGCTGTTATCGTAGCAGCAAAAAATGAAAATAACAAAAATTAAATTAAAATAATCAACACAGACCAGTAGAAATGATTGAAACCGTTTTTCTCATTAATTCTAGATATCTAAACATCATTACACTTTGATATTGTGAGACACAAAGTCATTTTATTGTGGGATTTCATGCTTACACAAAAATAAAAAAAATTGTGCAGTTCCAAAACAACAGACTTCCTGGGTTTAGACATATTTATTGGCCCCTAAAGGCATTTATGCGTACGCCCACTCGAATGGAATGTGACACAAAGCCAAGTTTAACGTGGGCGTATCCCATGAGCTGATGGAACCAAAGGCACATCGCATTAAACCTATCTTCCCCTTGGCTATACTCTATCCCAAGAGTGAAGAGAGAAGGAATCCTTGAGAGTAGATGTACTTTTAATTTTATGTCTCAAAGACAAAAGGCCGCGAAACTTCGCATGCCCACTCAAACAGAATATGGCACAAGGCTGTGTTTCAAGTGGGAATCTCACGTTTAAATTAATCCAAAGTCAGTTCTCCTTTTGGGTACACATCAGGCATCAGGGATTAAACCTAGTCCCCTTCCCGAGAGAGACGTATTACCTGGGACGATGTTCTTCTTGATATAGTAAAAGCCGAATTTAAAGTGGAAATCCCATGCATATATAGGACCAAAAGAAAAAAATAGGCCAGCCCTCTCAGTTGGATCTTCATTTAAGGATGCCTTCTGGGAAAGAATTGAATTTAGTTAATCTTATGCTTCAAGGACTAAAAGCGATTTACCGGTCTCTAAAGGCTTTCTGTCCACAGCTACTGAAGCGCAATTCGACATCTGGCCGAGCTTAAAGTGAGATGGAATCCCACGCGTACATGAACCAGAAAAATATTCGCTCACGCTCCATTAGCACTTCCGCTTTCGGGAACTCCTGATACGCAGGTTAATGACCCTAGCTCCGAACGAGAGATATTGCCTGTGGAACAGCCTTTTGTAAGTTGAGCATATTATAAAAAACGTCTTACGTACTGATAGTCCAATAAGTGAAATGATTATTTACTCGCCTCCCCATCGCGGCAGGATGTGACACGAGGTCTTTTTAATGGGGGAATGCCTTCGAAACAATAAAACATTACCCAGTCATCGCGACCACTGGCACGATAGTAGTGATATTCCACCGACCCTCTTTCGTTTAGGGAGCTGGAATCCCTGGGATTAGGATTCATCTCTCATGTAAAATGAAAATACGCTCTTCGCATCGATACCGGCCAAAAGGCCGAGAAGCGATCCGGAATATCCCTGATACGAATACAATTTTTTTTTTTTAAATTGCTGACGTCACTAAATAAAGCAAAGAGAACGTCATAAAACTTTCGACGAAGCGCACAGTTTTACATTAGAAACAAATTCGAATGTAAGATTTATTTGAAGCCTCCCTGGTTGCGATGAGCAGTCAAGGAAAAAGACAATATCACAAAGGAAAAGCGGGGATTGCTAGTGAAAATAGACACCCTGAAAAAAAAAACTTTTTTTAAGAACCTATAATATAAAAAATAAAAACTCTTTATCAAGCAAACCAGATGGAAGGCGTTCAGAAGATCAAAATGGATTTCCCACTGGTTAAAACCATCAGCCGGGACAAGCTAATCGAATGGTTCCGAGAAACAATGTCCCCAAAACTTCACACTATTAAGGAATTAGGAACTGGCGCCGACTTTTGTCTCGGCCTAGAGATTCTATTTCCAGGTTGCATTGGAAAACAGAGGATCAAGTTTGATAATCCAAGCGTTTACGACAGGCGTCAAAACTTTAAGCTCCTCCAGTCAGCGTTTAATTCTCTGAAATTGAATAAGGATGTTCCGATTGAGAAACTGGAAGAAGGTAATTATCGAGAGACTTACTATTTTGCTTTGTGGTTCAAAGCGTTTTTCGAAGCAAACTACAAAGGCACGACCAACGCCTTAAAGAAGTTTCAGTCGTCAGCGTGGCTGAATAGAAATAACACGCGTAAAGCAGCTGCGGGTGGATTTAGGCAAATTACCAGCTGCTGGCCACCAAAGGATGGAGAAATAGAAAGTGCGGTCGATTTACGAAATAGTATGAACAGTGAAAAAGATACGTCAGAGACGAAGAGCCCGCCACAAAGAAAAAGAAAACAGTTTGTAATGAGCCCTAAAGTCACAAATCCACGCATGTCGACATTTTCTCGAACGGAACAGGAGAGCTCAAAGTCTAATGAAATACCGGGTCAACGAAAGTTCAAAACCTTAGCACAACAGACGGAAGAGTTAGAAAAGGCGATGAAGGACCTGACCCAATGCAAAAAGGTATTCGAAGAAGTCAATGTGGATTTCGTGAAACGAGCCGAAAGTTTTGACCAGCCGAATGTAAATTTGAATCAAGACCCAAATGTAACAAACAATGTATCGAAGTCGCCGCTGACTGTTAAAGTCATTGAATGTCTTGAAGACATCAAAGAGGAGGAGGCAGACGAAGTGAAGAGCATGGAGCGAGTAGAATTGAAAAAAGTTAACCTAGAAATAGAACTTGACCAGATCAATCAAGTTGTTAAAGAACAACAAAGGATTATTAACGAATTGGAACAACAGAAAGACATTAAAGACGAGCAAATCGCGACTCTCGAGGGAATTGTCTGCGAACTGACCCAGGCCATTAAAGAATTAGAAACGGTAAAGAGGAACCAAGCCCTTATAATCAAAGACCTTCATAAGTCGATAGATGCGCAACTGAAACCGACAGAAGATCTGGAGCAAATAATGAACGAACAGTTAAAAAGTCTGGAGGATTTAACACAGTCGAAAGAGGAACAGGCTAAAAAGATCGAGGAATTAGAACAGACGAATAATGATATGGCGCTTAACAATACGATGTTAACGAAAAGCAACAAGGCTATGGCTGTTCATATAGAAGATTTAGAACATAGCTACAGAGAGCTTGGTCAGCAGAACGACAACTTAACAAAATGCAACAAAGAACTGGCGTGTCATTACAGTGACCTTTCCAACGAAAACAGAGAGTTGCATCAGCGAAATAAACGACTGGCTAAAAACTACGAGACAATTCTTTGCTACTCATGCTTGGATGCGAACCTTTACTTTAAACAGCTGGTCAAGATCGAGAAAGCGTGCAAAAGAGAGCCGAATAATTCTCTGCGCAAGTGCATAAACGCCATTTTAAATCAAACCAAATACCATCCACCGCTTGCCCCTGGATCAGGAAGTAGAAAAGACTATAGGTGATTACGAATGTCAAGTTATTGGCCCCAATTCAATAACAAGAACCAAAAGATAAAACCCTAATCTCTGACAATAAAAAAGGTAAATTCAAATATCATTGCGTTAAATTAAAAAAAAATTCTCTTTCCTCATATAGTTCAAAGATTTATACAGAAATGATTATAAGTATTAAATTAAGTTTAGTGCAACACAAGGATATAAATGCGAGTCACTCAATACGGATACTTTTTTTTTTTTTTTTTTTTGGCATTTCCCCCCAAGCAAGGCGGGAGTGCCACTAGCAGGCAAGAGGTTACAGAGAGTGGGAGCAACAGTAAAAAGACGTGATAGAGGAAAGGATGAAGAAAAGGACAGGGAATAGATCAAGGCATCCGGAGATGTCGATTGACATTGCATTTGAATATTGGGAAATTATAGCTATCAGGGAAGAAGGTAAGAGGAAGGCAGTTCCACAGACGGGAAGTGCGAGACATGAAGCTATTGAAGTAGAAGAGACGGCTACATTTTGGCTGTCAAACTTGATAAGTTATTTACACTTGAGTTTCAAATAACTAGGGTGGTTATAATAATTTTCAGGAATAAAACGCTTTGCCCTAGGATATTAGCAAACTAAATTAAGGAGAGGGCATTTCCTGAATATTTAATTGTCTGACTGATATGTTTTTACGGCTTATCAACCCATTCCAGCAAGGTCTCTGATTGGGAGATTTTGAGGAACGTGAAACCATCTCTTAATTGCTGGACCACCCTGACTCGGAGTGGTAGCACCTGTTAGGGTCCCAGCTACGGGCAAATGGTTAACGTCCCAAACTAGGCTCAAAACGGTATGAAAGTATAAAAATAGATTTTTAAAGTACTGTTACTAGCAATACATTTTTTTAAAAATATTACCAGTAATACATTTGACTCTCGACAAAAACCTCTTTACAAAAATACAACAATGAAATCTGATATACAAACTTTCTTATAAAAAATACATACTCTAGGAACCTATCCTAAAAATTTTGTCGGCATTAAATAAGTCACTGAGGTTAATATACCGTAAAATAAGCCAAACCAAACCAAATAGGCCCTTTACAGGTTATTTAAAGCCAGAAAATTGTTTTAGATTTTAAGAATATTTTTTGGGGATAATAATGATTTAGTGATACAGGTCTTACTAATTAACCCATAGCTGGGGATAGAAAAGGTGGATTCATATCTTTCACAAGGGTATTTGCGCGTAAGTGAATATAACGAACCCAACTTCGGCTGATCATTCGGAGCCTTTATCCATTACATCACTCGCAGGTGCATTTTTACAGCACCTGGTATTTCCAAGCCGTCACCCATCTAGGAACTGAACAGGTTCGACCTTGCTTAACTTCGGTGAGCGTACGGGACTCGGGTTTCAAGGCCGTAATCCCGAGTATTTAATATGCATGGTTTGAATAATAATGTCTCGGGTGGATTTTTCTCTCAAAAAGTATAATCGTCCCTGCTCGTCTATTTGAAACACAGTGATGACTAATTTGGTTTGGTTTGTTTGGTTTGTAACACACACACACACGCATATATATATATATATATGTATATATATATATATATATATATATATATGTGTGTGTGTGTGTGTGTGTGTGTGTATGTGTGTGCCTTTGTGTGTGTGTGCCTTTGTGTGAAAATATTCTATATAAATATAGTATATCTGTAGAAGAGACAAAATGAATGAATATATATATATATATATATATATATATATATATATATATGCGTGTGTGTGTGTGTGCGAATGTGCGACAGTGTATGTAGTATGTATAATAGTATCGGAAACAAAAGTGTGGATGATCAGACAAAGTAGAAAATCTTAAAAACCACGACGCGTTTCGCCGACATCTGTTGGACGCGGCTTTTTCAGGTCGGAATTACAGACAAAGCTATGTTTAAGGAAAATGAGTTGTGATTTTTTAGGATAAGAGGGGCAATAGATTAAATTACATCATTAGATTCGACGACCAGAAACTAGAAAGTGTTTTATATATATATATATATATATATATATATATATATATATAATTTCATTAGTAGGGAAGAGTATCACCAGAAAAAATAAAGAAAAAATCGTTGTCATAGCACCCATGTTACTTTAAAACGGTGTGGTTAATTTGAAAGTCTATTTTCCGCGAGGCATTTAAATACCAGTTTGGAATCTGGCGCGGGATAGTCTTTCTTAGATGAGGGTGAATGGAGTCTCTCTGAGCCTTGGTTGGCAATCCATTTAGTGATGGTGACACGATAAAAACACCCTTGATAGCCCTAGCGAAGCATCAAGAATTCAGCTATTGACAAGATTATGAACTACACCAATCAAAGTATTGAAGATAGCGACGTGAATGGGGCTGGAACATCTTTTGAAGGTCCCACGTCCGGCAGGTGTCCCATTGTTCAGCAGGGTGGGCCCTGTCGTCATCATGCGACTGCTCGAAACTCTGAAGGAACAGCTCTGAACCCTTCGGGGCGGGCTGCTCCCGACAATAAAGGAACGAGATCAAAACTTGTATCATGTAGAAACCGTGCTTTTATCAGCACGTTCAATACTAGGACACTGAATCCACCGTCCCGTCTTAACGAACTTGTGACAAAGGCAGAGGATCAGAATATCGATATCATTGTCATTCAAGAACATCGTTTCTTCCATCCTGACACTGATATTGAGTACCACAGGATCGAAGACTATCATCTTGTTACAGTCTCATGTGTGAAGAACTCCGCCAACTCATCTATAGGGGGTGTAGGCATTCTGCTTTCACCAAAAGCGATGGAGAAATTATCGAGTGTAGTGAAGATATCATCAATTGTCGTTATTGCCGACTTCAAAGGTAATCCTAGAACAACAGTCATATCTTGCTATAGTCCCCACAACGATAGTAGCGATGAAGATTTAAATCAGTTTTACAATACTCTACGTTCTACTCTGGAGAATGTTCCAACTCATAACTTTCTCTTAGTACCTGGGGACTTCAACGCTAAGCTTGGAACAGATGATGCTAAATTCACTTTCCATACAGAAACCAAACGTAATGGCGAGCATCTGCTTGACTTAATGAAGGAATTTAATCTGTATCCAGCTAACACTAAGTTTATGAAGTGCAACAATCAACTATGGACCTTTGAGTGTCCAAATCGCAGCAGAGCCCAACTAGACTTCATACTGGTCCGTAAGAAGTGGCAGAATAGCATCAAGGACTGCTGAGCATACTCATCTTTCTCTTCCGTGGGATCTGACCATCGAATTGTCTCTGCTACAGTTAAACTGAGTTTTAGAGTTTTGAAGAGACCAACTGCGGATCCCATGAAAGCTATTGACTGGAAAGCGGTCTACTGTGACAAAAATCTATCATCTCAGTATGCAGTGAATGTGTTTAACAGATTCCAAGAACTCTCTCATTATGACCTAGAGAACTCTCAGTTAGATTCAAGGAACATAGACCTGATCTATGGAAACTTGATTAAAGCCAATGAGGAGGTGGCTCTATCTACGCTCCCCAAAAAACCAAAATCACGAAGCAGTCCAGTTAGCTCAGACATCAAAATCTCAGAAGCTCGAGAAAATCTCAAGAAAACCTCATCGATGTACCACTGCCACCCTTCTCAGAGCAATAAGAAGTTAACAGCTGCTAAAAAATCCCTCGACCATGCTTATCTTGAAGCTGAAGAAGCTTATATAAATGGAAAAATAACTGATATTTCCCATCTTCATATCAACCAACAACACTCTGCAGCTTGGAAAACTATAAATGAACTAGTGGGAAAGGGATCAAAACCTCCACCAACAATTAAAGGTAGCAGCCTTGAGCAACGGCTTGGTAATTGGCTTTCTCATTTCAAAGACCTCCTTGGTAATCCCGAAAGTCTTTCAGACCACGTGTCCCTCTCAAAAGTTCAAATTAGTAGTGCTTTGAACCTACCAACAGGAGAGTACACCATTGCAGAGTTGAAATGTGTTCTAATGAAGACAATGAACAAAGCTCTTGGTCCTGACAAGATTCCGGTCATCTTGTGGAAGGACCCTATTTTTCACCAATTACTTCTTGATCTGTGTAATTATGCAAAGGCCAGCCACGTTTCACCAACCATCTGGCTACGATCGCAAATCATCCTCATCCCCCAAAAAGGTGATTTGACATTACGAACCAATTATCGCGGTATTTCGTTGCTTCCTATAGCTGCGAAAATCTATAACAAGCTTCTGAATGGAATTCGCGCTGAAGTTGAACCCATTCTACGCAAAAACCAAAATGGTTTCCGCCCAGGTCGTTCCACTCTTGGACAAATCCTCACATTGCGTAGAATAATTGAATAAATCATATTCTGCAATAAAACTGCAGCTCTTATTTTTGTAGACTTCAGCAAAGCTTTCGACTCAGTCAACAGCGAGACTATGTTTGAAATTCTTGAACTCTATGGCATACCAGTAGAAATCATTGAAGCAATCAAAGTATTGTATACCAACACACAGGCCACTGTCCTGACCCCAGATGGTGAAACAGAACCTTTCGATATTCTGGCTGGCATTCTCCAATGTGACACACTAGCACATTTCCTTTTCATCATTGTAATAGACTACATCATGCGTATATCAGTGGACACAATCAAAGAAAATGGACTGATGTATCAGCCTAGAAGAAGCTCACGTCATCCTGCACTTTACATCACCGATGCTGATTTTGCTGATGACATTGCACTGTTGTCTGACAACCTCATTAGTGCCCAAGCACTCCTTTCTTCTCTTGAATCAGCAGCTAACTGTGCAGGTCTTCACCTAAATGAAACCAAAACTGAGTGTATGCCAATTAACATTTGCAACAATCATGAGATCAAAACACTCTCAGACAACATCCTCAAATGTGTCGAAGACTACAAGTATCTAGGATCACACATCAAGAACTCTGAGAAAGATTTCAACATTAGAAAAGGCATAGCATGGACTGCTTGTAACAAAATGGATAAGATCTGGAAATCCAATCTTGCTCGTCAATTCAAAATCCAACTTTTCCGCGTACTTATTGAGCCAATCTTACTCTATGGCTCTGAAACTTGGACTCTCTCAGCAAAACAACAGCTCCGTTTAGATGGATGTTATACACGTCTTTTAAGAAGAGTGCTTAATCTCTCATGGCGAAACCGCCCAACTCTAGAAATGATATATGGAGATTTGCCGAGAGTATCAACCTTAGTTTGCAAAAGACGTGTCCAGTTCGCCGGGCATTGTGCACGTGCCACAGATGAACTTGTGTCATCATTTGTACTCTGGAGGCACCCATCATCTGACGATCGATCACACAAGTTAACCTTTCCAGATAGGATAAAACGAGACACATTGATCCCTAAGGAAGATCTTTTAGGAGCTATGACGGATAGGGAATACTGGAGAGGTGTAGTGAGTTCAATCTCGGCTGAGGCCGCGGGATGATGATGATTTTTAATGTAACAGTTAATAAAATAAAAAATAGATATTCTTTTTAATGAAATAAATATCTGTGAACAAATCGGCGAGGTTTGTAAATGTTAAAATAAATGTTAAATATATTAATTTGATGCAGGAAAATAAATATATCTAAAGAAAAATGTAAATACATATAATTCAAATTATCATTTATCATAATATTATTTAAGTATTAAGGAAATTCACAATAAACCACTGTTTCGAAGCAATAAGTTTGTCATGTTATCGATTTGTTCCAGAGTTTCTTCAACTGTCCTGATGATTTTCTTATTGATCGAAACGTTGGCTGAGCCGCGTCACACTGGTGTGCCACTCGATCCTCTTACGTGTGCCGTGAAATACTGTCACGGCATATATATATATATATATATATATATATATATATATATATATATATATATATATATATATATATATCTGTGTGTGTGTGTGTGTGTGTGTGTGTGTGTGTGTGTGTGGAAGTAGTAATGGTGCAGTAATTGAATAAATGAATAAGTATTACATTTTTTTTCATATAATTTTTTCACTATTCTTTGATTATGTTATTTCATATACTTTGTTTTAATATTCAAGTGTGCTGTGATATTTTTGCGCTTAAGTGTGCCGATGCTTAAAAATCTTGAGAAATACTGATATAGAGGCAGCGAAAGGAGTAGTGGAACATGGTCTATAGCTTTATACGTGAAAATGACAGTAGCCAAGCACTGTTGATTCACATGTCCACAAACAATAGATAGATAGATAGATAGATAGATAGATAGATAGATAGATAGATAGATAGATAGATAGATAGGGTGATGAAATTGCAATAGATACATAAAAAAAATGTTGACTGCCAAATAATCTTATGACATCAAGGAAGAGAGGTAACTTTCTCAAACATGCATGTGTGTAATTTGAAATTTGATTAAT